TCATTTTCATTCTACTTCTCCTTTCATTAGATCCTATTTTAATCATATATTAAAAAAAAAAAAAGTAGCAAATATATTGTTTAGAGAACTCCTAAGTTCTAAGTAAAAATTAAAAAAAAAAATCTGCATCTGACATAAGAAATAGCATAGGACAATCTGCTGCTTATACAAGGGACATGCCTCAAAATCTCTACATTCTATAAGGTGAAATACAAGCTCCCTGCAGTGACAGTGACTGATTTAGAGGAACAGAAGAAGAATACACATCTGCACGAGTATCTATGGGCTCATTTTCACTCTGACTTATTCTCAACTGGATTTTGACATGTTAGATGAATTTTATTATAAAAGTTGTTTTTTTTTTCTTTGGTTTTTCTGTCTGTGGTGAAGTTTAGAAAATCTATTATATGAAATTTCTTCTTTTCCCGATAAGGACATTTTGAACTTTGTGGATATTAAAAGTTTACAGCGCAGAATATATTCAAGATCATTGATTTTAAATGGTTCCATATAAATAAAACCAAAATTTGGCTCTCTAGCAGAAAACTATGTTATTGTCATGAATATCTTAAGTGTAATCATTTTTCTTTTAATTAACATTCTAAAGAGAAGAGGAAGTTGGAAATCCAGATAAATCTGTTATGAGTCAATTAAAAAGACAGGATTAGCATATGCAATCAAGATGGGTGCAGCAAGATTTCATGGAAGAGTTCATGAGGAAGCAACTAGGATGCATCATTTGCATGGGCAGCCTCCTTGGTTTGTGTTCTTCTCAACCTCAGTATTGTTGACTTGACTCACTGTATGAATATTGCCGAGCAGTAGCAAACTATGATTTCATTTTCCTACTCTCACTAGTACATCTTACTTAGACGTGCGGTTTTGAAAAAGACAAACCATATAAACTATGGAAAAAGTAGTGCTCTTTTTTTCCTTTCTGCAAATATTGTTTTTTTAATAGAATCTCCTCTGTCAAGATGTCATATGTATTAGGGATGGGACACTTCAACCACAGGTCACCTGAGCAAGTGAAACCTTAATCAAGGGGTGACTGATTAGTGAAAGATATAAAAGGACTTAATGAACTCTCACCAAGTACTATCAGATAAGTGCATATATTCTAAAACCAGTGGGAAATTTACAAGAGAATCCTTTTTTCTTTTCTTTTCTTTTCTTTTCTTTTCTTTTCTTTTCTTTTCTTTTCTTTTCTTTTCTTTTCTTCTCTTCTCTTCTCTTCTCTTCTCTTCTCTTCTCTTCTCTTCTCTTCTCTTCTCTTCTCTTCTCTTCTCTTCTCTTCTCTTCTCTTCTCTTCTCTTCTCTCTCCTTTCCTTATTCCTTTCCTTTTTGTTTTCCTTTTAATTTTTTTAAATAAATAAAACACAAATGTGCATGAAGCCTGAATTCTTTAACGTTTTCAAGCCGATTGTTCTGCAGCTGCATCATCATGCATAGCGTTAGAAGTCCACTGTCTTGGTGGGGTATCTGTTTTATAAATAAGCCGAAGAAATGAGACTCCTGGGAGGAAAAGCTAATGTTTTCTTCACTTTGCATTTCCCAGAAATAAGAATTATGCCTTTTAAAACATGATACTCAACAGAACATGTGTCTGTGATCTTAATTGTCCTGAAAAAAGCTGTCTGTGGCACTGCAGAACAATCCATAGCAGAGTAGAAACTGAAGGAGAGTATCCATAGCAGAGTAGTGACTGAAGGACAGTCACTGCTGAACTCATTTCCAAAGTATAGCATGTTCTTGCTTAACTGTATAGATCAAGAGAGTTTGATAAAAACTAAGCAATCATTTGTAAATCTCAAGCCTCTGTTACCATGGTTGACAGGAAGCCTTGCACCTACTGCCAATTAAAACAAGCAGTTGTTTTGTAATGACTAGAACAAGAGTATAGAATGTGAAGAAATAAGGAAAACTGCATTTAAGACACCACAGACAAAACTCTGCTAGAAGCTCATGTCTGTTTTTGATGAAGTTCATGCTCTGTGGTTACAATACATTTTGTGTAACACTGCTTTTCCTCATACTGCCCAAGACTTATTCTCCTTACTAGTTCAAAACAATAAGTGATTCCTTCAAATTCAACACAGAAAATTATACTACATCACTACTAATTCAAAGTTTCTTGAAACAAAAACTGCTTGATTTTTATTTTGTTTTGTTTTTTAAATCATTGTGCACAACTGGAACTGATTCAGTGAATATGAAAGATAGCACAGTCCTGACGCTGCAGTAAAGACTCCAATCACTATAATCATGTTAATAATAAACACTTATTTTAAGACAGAAACTTCAAAGTATGAAAACAAACACATATTTTGGACTTTCTTACTGAGTCATGCTCCATTATATTTCTCTACATAATAGGTGATCTAAAAGCAAAAAAGAGTTACACTGCACATCAGAAATGCTCTACGTGGACTAAATTTGTAGAGGGTGTAAATACATTAGAATATATCAATGTATATGAACAAATTAGGAAGGAAGGGTGTGTTTCAGAGACTTTTCAGTGTGTGCTCACTATTAAAATCTGTCTGAGATCTGCTTGGAGAAAGCAACAATTATATTTCTTATTAAAGAATATGCAATTACAGCCTTCTTTACACTTCCTGCTTCCTCCAACAATGAAGACCTGTCTGCGCCAAAGATTATAAAGTCCTGTGCTGTTTCACTAGGTCACCAGACTGAACAGGCCAATCCACTTTCATGGCAATTTATTCCTGATTTTCTCCTGGGCCAACTTCTTTTATGATTAAACTAAGCCTAGCCGGAGATTTACAGCATTGTCACTGAGAGAGAGTTAGTTGCAATGAAATTAAATTGAATACTGATTAAACTTAAACTACAAAAACTTTTGTGAGTTCCCTAGTGTGTTATTCTTGCGTCTACTATCTTTAAAATCTTCTTCAGACACTGAAAAAACAGAGCTTCAAACCTCCTACTTTTTCAGGAAATTTGTCACAACCATAGGCTGCTGCAAATGCTTTATTTATTAAACCATTATTTTAATTCCTTCTTGTTTATGATATTTGTCTGTCATCAGAAAAAACCAGAAAGACCACAGTTCAGATTTCTCAGGATCATAAATGGTTTGATTAAACTGCAGATGCTAATTAAGACCCAAATCTGTATCTCTATGCATAGCCAGTATAACCAGCTTGTTAGCTAGGGAAAGCCCATGATATTTAGAATATTCCATGTTGTAGGATGCAGATCACAAGTGGGAGGCTTTCAGGACAGCTTTTGTAACCTCCTCTTCAGCTATATCATACAGGTTTGGGGAAGGAAACACACGTGACAAATTGTCTGAACTGTGCCCATACATCCTGTACGTGTCAAAAGCAGCCAGCTATGATGCGGCAGGGTTAATCTGTGCTCTGTGCTGTTGTCATTTTGTCATCATTTTCTCAAAAGTATGTTGCTCCCTGATTTGAGGAGTTTGCAAGTAGACCAAGTGATGAAATGATTTTTTAAATGAGAAATAAGCAACTTTGAATTGCACTGTACTTTTCCTAAAAAAAAAAAAAAAAAAAAAAAAAAAGATTAAAAAGTGTTAGAAGCATACAACTTTTTATTTTAGTTTAGTTAGCTTCCACAAATATATAAACTGAACCTTGTAGCCTAGAGAATTCAAGAGTGTCTTAACTGTTACCATTTCTAATGGGAAACACAGTGAGAGTTTTCATTATAAATTATACTCAGTCCAGCATTTTTTTCTGTGCTGTTCTTTGTGATACAAAATTAAAACAGACCATAAAATCTACTGAGAGAACAGTTACTAACAGGCATTAAGTATTGGTGTTGATAAGGAACCAACTGCTATGAACAAACAGATACTAATTTATATGGTTTATGGTGTAATCCAGCAAAGAATTCTGGTGCTACAAAACCTTGGTGTTCCAGCATCCTGTTATTCAAGTCCATGGTCCTGTATCTGATATCCAGAACCATGTTTCTAAAGTGTTGTGCATACAGAGAGGCTTAGGCAGCCTGGAAAACAGCCAGCACGTTGTGTTTTGAGCCCAACATAAGCTGACTGGCACTAACAGAGAAAAAACTCAGATTTGTCCCAAATACAAAGTACTGCCTTCCTCTAAAGCCAGGCCTTTACCTGAGGGCTACCTGTAAAGACAGGGCTCTTTACAGGGCTTTACAAACCCAGGGCTGTCTGAAAGATGCCTCCATCCACTCAGAATCTACACCCTGATTCTTTGTATGAAAATAGGTTCCTGTGATCTTTCCTTCAAAACTGATGTTTCATTAAAACATAGCTAGAGGAGAAGCTGGCTTCTCATCTCCCTCTGTATAACAACTCTGTGATTAGAGCAGTCAGAAAATCATGGGATTCGTTGCTCTTGCCCTGAAAGGCACACTCCTCTCCCCCAGGGAAAGACTCTGACCATCAGTCTGATGGTTATTTTAGAAAAAGCATTCTTGACCCTTCTACTGAAACAGTGCCCTTGAGGCCCCACAACAAATTCAGGATTCCTTAGATCATAATCTAATGTTTAGGTTATTCTCAGGGTTGGAACATAAGCTGAATTTTCCTGGGATTATTTCTGTCCACTCTATCTGAAATTGCTGTGGAACATACACACCACCCTCAATTAAAAAATACAGATAAAATAAAAATATATGTATATTAAAAAAGGGAAGCCCAAGGAGAAGGGGTCAGGTTGTGCCAATGAGGTGATTTGAGAGGAGGAACAAAACATCATAGAGCTGGGGACCAGAGGACTTGGGCATGAGCAGGCCCAAAAGGTAGCCTGGGATTCCCAGATGGAAAAGGATGAATTATGAGGACTAATGTACTGCTCTGAGGTTTAGCAACTGCCTCTGTTTAGCAGAAGTTTTCTGGATTGCACATCAATTCCATCTGAATTGCACATTTCACTCCATTCAGATTATCCTACAGTCTGAAATATAAATACTGACAGAGACATCTTGAGCTCAATAAAATACTTGTTTATTTATTTGAAAAGACAGAAAGAAAGAAAGAAAGAAAGAAAAAAAAAAACAACCCAACAACAACAACAAAAAAACAAACCAGCAGTTGTTGAGGACAGTTAACATTGAAAGCACTGAGTTCTTGCCTTTTCAGCTTAATCCTAGCCAGCACTCAGTTGGCAGATTCTTCCAGGTGTGTCATACCTGCAGTTGGGGATCATCTTGCAAGATTTAGAGCTTTACACTATCTGTGTATCACTAAACTGTCCTGTCTGTAGAAAAACTCAAAAGGAAGAATTGTGCTAAATCCTATTTTCACTTCACAATATTCCTGAGGTGAAAATACATTTTTGCAGAAGTAACATGCTTATTTTGACACTGTGACTAATGTCTTATTCTGCATGACTGAAACATTAGAGGAAGGCCATACCAAGTAGCTGTGACAAACACTAGACCAAAGACACATTACTTTAAAACTTCCTTTTTTTAGGGTATTTTGTTTTATTATTTGTAAATTCTTTAATTCCCAACAAAAAGATGTACCTCTGAACATCTCTGTGGTGTTTATATTGCCATCTAGATTAGGAAAAGCCCTTACACTGGACTTGTCCATAATGCAAGGAAAAGAGGTGATTTTCCCTTATTTCTTCTTGTTCCATAAGCCCATTTACTAAGATCTGGTGGCACACTTTGCAATTCCTAGTCAGGTATTCAGAATAGCAACATGTGTATAAGTTAAATATAATTTGTGAAATATATGCCATATTTGATAAAAAAATGCATGTAGTCAGAATCATATGATGATTTCATTTGCATAGATGTAAAACCTGAATTTATTATACACAACCTATATTTGTAAAAGTAGACAGTCACCTGGCTTCTCTGTACTGGTTTAATCTGGCAGTCCCTCACTAGAGGCAACAGAATTTTTAGAAGCAGCCAAGACAAACCAGACACCAAAGGAAAGGAGAAAATGTGCAGGAAAAATAGTGGCTAGCACAAATATTAATACAACTCCTTCAATCCTTTCCAAAATGAAAGTTTCAGATTGACAGAAGGTGGAGAGGGCAATTAGGCAACAGAGAAGTGAGTCTCACATCACTGACGCATCTGTCACAAGCTGAACTTTTCTGTGAAGCAAAAGTTTTAAGGGGAAATCTACAGGATGCAATTCACTTTTTCAGGTAATCACAAGATCTTCCGCAGCAGATATGTGGAGCGGAAAGTAGTTACCATCTTGAAGAGAAGCTGAATGGATTGAGGTACTGTGCAGCATCAGGGCCTAGAAACAAGCACCTCCAGTGAATGGCTGGAAGAAACTGAAGCCAGTCTGCAGAAGGACAGATGAATTTGTTATATTACTAGCATGATACACTTTGAATGAAGATATGTTTTTGGAGAGACACAGGTAGTGGGGTGACACAGGCATAAGTTCAGGAGATTGGTGTCTAATCGAAAGACTGCAGAAATGGCACTGAAAGGGGTGGCTGTGTTCAGAAAAAGTTATCTGAGTCTTTTCCACAGAGCCACCACTGAAATCAGACATCAGATAAAGATATGATACAGTTGATAATGGCCATTTGCATTTAAAATATGCATAGGACACTCCAGCCTGGTTGTATTTTTTTACTGACATCTTCAACTGCAACCAATTATAGTAATACTGGTTGGAGCACAGTTACTGAAACCAAGTCTTAACATGTCATTAGGCAGCTGGACAGTAATGGGCAGACCTTCCTAGTGAGCAGTCTTCTTGCTCTGTTTCAGAGGTAATAGCACATGAACACATTACAGAAGTCAGTCTGCTGTTCTTGTAGGTTAAGAGGGGAAAAAAACCTCAAATGTTTTCTTTAGTTTCTGATGTGCTTAGCTTAAAACAAATCATGAAGAAAGCAAAAAATCATGACAAATGCTAGGTAGCATGCAACAGTTTTCATTGTTATAGCTGCACACTATGAGCTGGAAACAAGTCATACTTTATAAGGTTTGTATTTCTTGGGATCAGTGCAAGCATCTGAGCATTATGAGCATTCTGTTGATTACCTGTGATGAATGGCAGAAGATGACCTTCTCTTTTAATCATGGGTCAACATAACTCTTACATATACACACATTTATGCGGTGTTTCTTCTTAATATTGACCATTTCAAGCTCCAGCTAACATCAGATAAGAAGAAAAAAAACACATGTTTATTTGGTTCCAGGATCTATGAGGAAGCTTTTAACCCCACCCTACTCCCTGCCCTACTCCACTCCCCAGCTCTACTTTCTGCTCATGTCTAAACATATTTACATGTCTGAAAGGAACTGAAAAGTATCTGTAATGTTTCCCAGGGGATCTGATAGCTCTTCTCACACAAAACTTATTTCCAAATCATTATGCCATAGTAACATTTCGGTAAGGGGCACCTCAGGAAAGGCTTCCGATGGTTTCAGTCTGCAGATTCAACAGTTTTGTCACCTCACCTGAAAGATAAACATTTGAACAGAGATAGTTTCATTAATATTGCCCTTCACTTGAATACGTGATAGATCTGCAGTACATATAAGATAGGTCCTTGGCTAAATATGCTTTTACCACCACTCGAAGTCCATAAAACTCAGGAACATCATGTGGATTTCTAATGCTCCTTCGCAGGCTTTAAATCCACCAAATCATGAGTGAATTATTGTGATTCATATGCCACTTTTATTTTTGGCAGGCAATGTTGATGGTATTGGAGAAAGATTATTTGAGCGAGATCTGCATCCACTTTCCTCAAATCAGGACCCTGAAAAAAACCTCAGAAAGGAGCTGTCAGCATAAATGCATACAAATATATGTAAACACATATTCTGTATGGGTTTTGACGATACAAATCCAGACATGAGGGATGAGCAGGACTTTCTATAGTTCCTGTAGAAGTCTGGGCAAGCAAACATCTGGGAATGGACACTGAGGAAGAGGAAATATCTACGTGTCAGTAATATGAAAGTTATATTGTACACCTGCTTTTTAGACATGCCATCTGCACTCAGTCATACCATAATATAGCTTTGATGACATGCCACAGCTAAAGGGCCGGCAGAATACTTCTTGCTTCATTGACATGAGTGACACAACTCTGCAAAACTCACTGCTTAATGATATAAATCATAACTCTCGTGGTATATGGTTGTCCCACATGTTTTTCAGTGCTTAAAGCCACACTAAGTATTTTGCTGCTGAAAGCACTGAAGGAGAATTACAGTGGAAACTGATGCATACCAGGTAAGCAAGAGCACCTTATCTATACTAATGCTGAACTTCTCATTATGTTGTGCTGGCCTACAACTACACCGTAACATCCAATGGATATTGTTTACAATAACCTAACAACAAGCAATTCTGTTCCCATTACTGCTCACAATCTCATAGTAAATGCTTCTTGTTTCCACAGTAAGCTGACTGCAACTGAAAGGTACCGCCATGCTTTGTCAAAAGTCAAATAAATCTTGTGTTTAGAAAAGGAAACATAATATATATTAAAAAAAAAAAAAAAAAAAGGAATTGGATTTGACTAGTATACAAAGTCAATGAAAAACATGGTTTATACTACATTCCTTTCTTTAAAAACATTTTCTACAGTGTGCTTCAGAATCTTTAAGAGGAAGCATGGTCTAAATACAGAACTCAGTTCCTGTGCTGGACCTACTCTTAAATCCAAGTGTGGCCTCGGGCAAATGCGTTAATTTTCCTGTTTCAGTTTCCCTGCCTTTAAAGTGGGGATAGAACAACGAACCCAAACAGCTTAGTTGCAATTTATACGAATGAGTAACTTGATTATTAGATTTCTGAGACATGAAACACGATTATTATTAGGATTCACTGACCAGCCAGACAGGGGTGTGATACAAATAAAGGAGACGGGTCTTGGACAACAGGAGCATGCTGGTTAGGCAGACTGAAGAGCTCAGCGAGGAGGCAGTGGAATGTTGTGCCTGCGAAAGTGTGAACATTTCCCTTGCACTGACTTTCTATTTATTGCCCCATGGTACCTAGAGACCATGAAAAGCCAACTCTTCTCTGAGAAGCAAATAGGTCCAAAGCACTGCAGCAGACCAGCTGTAGGCAAATAAATTTTTATCTATGTAAGAGAGCTAAATGTTATTTTCCAGTGGAAATGTCAGAATTGATTAAAGCTTGAGCATTTCTATTTAAAATGAGAGCAGTGCTTGATACATTTTAAAGGGAGAAAAAGTGAGAGGCCTGACAGCATGGAGATAATGGGAAGGATTCATCTGTGGGCTTGCTGCAGTAATGTGGTACACAGCACGCCAGGGCCAAATTCACCTCTCCATACATAGCATAAATGGGAGTGCCTTTTAATAACTATGAGAAAATAGTCTCCCTGCTAGCAAAGTCACTATTATTAATTGTTATTATTAACCTTTGGGCTTGTGTATCCTCCACAGATTAATGATTATTCAATAACTGTGCTACAAGGTTGCACTTTCTAACACCAATTAATAGAAGTGCACAGCTAAGAAAAGCATTGAGGTATCGACTCCACAGTCTCTGTCTTGATGCAAAGTTGCCTACAGGAATTGTATCTGCCAATTCCCAGAGCAGGAAGAGGAAATATGCCTCAAAGTCAAAATAAAAGAAAAAAGAAAAAAAAAAAAGAAAAAAAAAAAAGAAAAAAAAAAAAAAAGATGGAGCTGACATCCACGGTCCCCTCTCTTCTCAATAGGGAATAAGCAGCAGCCTCAGCTTTCAGGGAAAGCTGCACTCATTGCCAGCGTTCACTTTCCAGGAACTCCACATCCAAATTGTGCAGTGGCAAAGATGGGAAAGAAGGGCTTAAAAAAAAAAAAAAAAACAAAAGAAAAAAGTCCCTCTCCACGGAGAAGTTCCACGAATAAAGACAATTCTCAAACAGCGCTGTTGAGGAGCACATGGTGCCAGGTGACACAGCAGCCGAGACCGGGGTGTGGGGCTGATGCGCAGCTCCCGACAACGCGCGGCGCGGCGGAACCCGACGGGGTGGCCACCCCGGGGGCTGCGTGCCCTTATGCCGCAAGGCCCCGTCCCGGGAGGTCGCCACCGCGGTTCGGAGGTCGCTGCCCGGGAGGGGTTGCGAGGGGCAGCGGCGGGGAGCGGGCATGGAAATAAATAAAGGAGCGAGGGAAGGATGAAGGCAAAGGAGGAAAGCGGGGAAGGGGCAGGGAGTGCAGAGACAGAGGGGAGGGCTGCGTGAGAGCGCGCGTGTGTGTGTCCCACCTGACTCCCCGTTTGGCGGGGGGGCACACACACACATACACAGACACACACACACACACGTACACACACACATGCACACACACATGCACACATACATGCACAAACACATACACACACACGCGCGCGCGCGCAGCCGCCGCGCTCCAGCTGCCGCCGCTTGGTCCCCGCACCCCTTCTCATCGCTGCCCCCCGCCGCGGCACACAGTAGAGAGGCGTAAAGCGCGGAGCCCCGCGGTCGCGCTGTGCCCGCCGCCCCTCCGCCCCCCCGGGACAGCGCGCCCGTCCCCGCCCGGAGGGGCCGTGCGAGGCGGCGGCGGGGGTGGGGGGGCCGCGGGCACACGCGCAGCGATCCACGCACACGCACGAGCAGGACTGCCCCGCGCTGGTACCTGGTGCTGCCCTGGTGCGTTCCGGCCGGGCTCCTCCTGCCGAGGCAGCGCGGGAGCGGCCGTGCGTGTGCGTCTGTGCGCGTGTGTCTGTGTGCGCGTCTGTGCGCGTCTGTGTGTGTGTGTGTGTGTGTGTGTGTGTGTGTGTGTGTGTGTGCGAGAGCGAGCGAGAGCGAGAGAGGCTCTCCCCCCCTCCCCCTCCTCCTCCTCGTTCTCCTTCCTTTAAACGCCCACTCCTGATGGGTGAAAAGACAACTTGAACTTCAGTGCAATTAACTTCGCCGGCGCCTCGGAAGCCGGAGGTGTCGCCGGCCTCGCCCGCCGCGCTCCCATGAGTGAGTCGCTCCCGCTCCTTCGGCGTCGCTCTTCGGGGACGGGGGGACGGGGGCAGCCGCAGCGGGTCCTGAAGGGGCGGGGGCCGGGCGGGGGGCGCGGGCCGGGGGGGCTTCGTGCGGCGGCGCAGCCTCCCGCAGCGGGACGCACACCTGCCACCGCGCCGCTCCCCGCCACCGGCCCCGCTCCGCGCGCCGGCCCGTCGCCTCCGTCACGGGAGGGGGGAGCGGGGATGGGGCAGATGGAAGAAAAGGAAAAACCCGAAAAGTTTGGCAAAGTTTTTCCGCGGCCCCGCGCGCTTCTCTGCCGCTGGAAGCGGGGCCGGCGGCAGCCTCGACGGCTCGCGGTCCGGGGATGGGTTGAGGACTTCCGCGGGGCGCGGAGGGTGCGCGGGCGGCTGCGGGGAGCCGAGCCCCGAGTAGAGTGGCGGAGGGACCGTCCGGAAAGCGTCCCCCCTCGCCTACCCGTGGCACGACCCGGCGCTGCTGCTGCCGCGGGGAACGGTGCCAACAGTTCGTAGCTACGCTCCGGGATTTTATTTTCATTTTTATTTATTTATTTTTTTTTTCCGTTTCCGAACCCGGCAGCCGAGGTTTGGCTCACATCGGCGCGCTTTGGTCGCTGTCTGCGCTCGCTGCCCGGGAAGCGCTCCCGACAGGCACCTGCCCGGCTCGGAGTTCCCCTGTGCCGGGTTGCGGGCTTCTCACTCCTGGAGAAACTTCGCTAAAATGCAAGTTTGCTGAAATACTTTGCACCAGCTCCTAAGCCGAAACGAGTTGCAAATGACGAAAGCTTTCTACTGGCTTTAGTCAGTCCAACTGAGCACGGTGCTTCTGTGCACAGAATTCCCAAATTCAGGATGCAGATGCTGAAGGCATGTGGTCAGGCAGCGCCTTGCCCTGTCCCCCTGCTCCCTGCCACCTGGGCAGCAGCAGCCCTTTACTTCTACTTCCAATTATTTCAGCACAGTGCATTCGTATATTTGTCTGCTGTAGTCTGCTGGCAAACATTAGCATTCAAGCTTACATTTTTGACAAATGTGCAGACAGGAATAGCATGAATAGGCATCTTAAATATTAACAACCTAAGCATCTGTTGTAAAACAAGTTTAATATATTTACTCTGTTTTTCTCACATTGTTAGGAAAGGTTACAATAAGTGTAAAATTTCAGCGGTAGTTAGCACAAGGAGTGCTTGGATCTTTCACTATCTCCTCAAGCATTCAACACAATCACCAGATAGAAATGTGGCAAATCAGGCACACTATTCAAAGCCAACTTAAAACAGTAACTGTAGAGTGTAAGGATGTGAATATAGGATGTTCTTTGTTGCTTGCACCTTCCTCTTAGTCTGCAGCACTATCTGTAGAATTGTAGAGTGCTCTCGTATTCCTATATGCTCTGTAATACATTTGTACATCCACTCATTTTCTAATTCATTCTCTATTTGAGATTGTTATTGGCATTGCTTCACTTTCCAAGTCAAAGCAATGGTTTGCGCAGCAATAACACAGAGCAGGTAGCAAAATGAGCAAGCAGAAATGTAATGTGTTAACGCATAGGCATGCATCTGAACAAACAGCACGCACACATCATGAGGCAGTGGAAGAAAAATTAAGATCATGGGCTGGTGTGTTGTGCGTGCCCACTCTTGAATACAAACAGCTAGTGGAAAAGCTACAACCTACTCCCAGGAATTCCTTCGTCCCTGGAATAACATTGTTCAGAGTAGAACAAGGGCACAGAATAGCGAAGTCTCCAAGCAGAGTGTAGAGTTATTTCAGGAATCAGTGCATTCCTTCCCTTTTTCCCACAAGTTCAAATATGTAATAAATAAGTCCTTTGTATGCAAAAGAGTTTACTGGAACAAAAAATATTTAAATGGAATGCTTTTTGTGTGTACACTTTGTAAAATGAGCTGTTTCCTTTTTATATTCTTTGTTGCTAACACTTTAAATAGGAAAGTGGCTGTCTCGGTTTCTCCTCTCCTGTTATTTCAGCAGCACGCACCAACCCTAACCTGCTGCACGCTCCCAGAAAGCACTGCAAAGCCAAGCCAACCCGTAACTCACAAATGGGACGCGTTGCTCTGCCAGATAGAGGCTGTGCCACACGAGCCCAGAGCTGTGTGTGAGCAGAGCATCTCTCATTGCGCAGCGTAGGCCCTGCGGGGCAGCTGATGAGCATTTGCCCTCTGTGGCTGCGCTTCACAGCCAAGAGCGGCCCTGCCACTGCCCGGTAGCACCACAGCCTCCGTCCTGTGGGACCACTGGCACGTCCGTCCCAGCCCTCAACCTGAAAACCTCGTAACAGTGGGAAAGTCCTGAGCGAGCACTGACTCATCTTACATTTCAGGTTTGGGGGATAAAGGGGTTCAGATGCGTGCGGTTGCAGTTGAGGAGATGCCGTTTGAAGTCTGGTGTTCTTTGGAAGTGATGGCACCTTTTTATTGTCATCTATTTTTTAGTCATTTTTAAATCATTGTCAGAAAAATTCAAAGTCCTTTGTAAGGTTTCAAGTTGTACTTTGGAGG